AACTCAGTAACTGCAAGAAGTTTGAGTAACGTGAGAGATTTGGATGAATTTTGAGCAGATTATTTTCTGTTTAAGGATTTTTTTATACAATTCATTGTCTGAATTATGTATTTTTATAATTTATAACAATCATACAGACTTATTATTTGACAAATTGTCTTTTCTTGTCCCTGGCGCCATTGTTTTTATTATAAAATTAACTTTTTATAAGTTATAAAATGCTGAGATTTTATCCCTACTGAGTTTCCTTACATGCATTAAAATCAAGAAGGCCTTGCGACCCCCCCATGAAGGTTGTGACCCACTGATTCAAACTGTAACTACGAGTGAAATCTCCTCGTAGCTGAAATAGTGAGTCAGAGATCTCAGGAATAAACTACGATATCTTCCACATGGCAGAAATAACTTCTGCAGTGTCAATAAACTACAGCTGGTGCAATGTAACTAAGTACATGTACTCAAGTACTGTACTCCAATACATTTCAGAGGGAATGTTTTACTCCATTACATTTGTGTGACAGCTTTAGTTACTTTGCAGATTTTCATTATTATATAAATGATGACGTATTGTCGTGGATTACAGCAGTATATAAAGTAAAAATATATAAATTAAAACTAGCTGCACATTAATGCATCAATAATTCAAATCTAATTACATAATATATATTATTTATATCTGCATAATGCACTGCAGTATTGTCACTTTTACTTCATAATTCCACCTTTAGCAAAGACACTATCACTGACATTGAAATTAAATGTTATATTAAAACTAATAATTAAATTAGTTTTGTGTTTGTTTTTATTTAGTTTTGTTTGTTAATTAACAGCTATAAATTTGTAAAAAAAATTGTATTATTAAAAAAAAGCTACCTTTGGCTATTGGTTCCTAATGACAGTTTCTCCTGTGTTTGTGTGTCAGTTATGTAAAGAAACAACGCAGCCGTCGATGTCACATAGAGATTTATTTTCTTTGATTAAAAAGTATTTGAACTGAACACAGTACATAAAGTGACAATGATGGTGAAGGGGCCAAAGAACAGGCCGTCCTTCTCAACAAGGCCACAAAAAACAACATCAGAGCCGTTTGTTAGTGCTCATCTTCCCCCCAACACACACACACACACACATACACACACCACACACCCACACAAACACACACACACACCACTCCTGTCACCAAACACAAATTAAAACCTCCCAAAATGTGTCTGGGGACATAATGATGCATTGAAATGCAAAAATATGCTACACAAGTAAACACAAAGGTACTAAACAACACACACACACACACA